CTGGACGAATTGTCCGGGGTGTGGGCAGCAACTAGACTCAGTTCTCGTGGGGTTATCTGGCTACCACGCTCAGTTGCGCCATCGTTCTGAAGGCTAATTGGCAAGCCCAGTGACACATTGCAAGCGCTGTGGCTGAGTAACACCATGGCATGGGCGGCATCGCAATAATGAGCTTACAACGATCAATTGTTGTTGTGTCCAGTAAACAGACATGCTGGGAGCACGTAATATTTCTTGTGCTGTCGAGAGCCGACATTCGCTATGCATTTACACCATGTGTTCTACTTTAGTCCCGATCTGCCGGTTTTGTATTGAAAGATCTGCATGACCATTTCAAATATTCCAGAATTGATAAGTATGGCGAGCATTAGGAGTCGATATACAATTTTGATTGCAATAACCATCTTCGTATGGATATATTTATTCACTGGACTAACACGCCATGAAGCATCAATAGCGGTACTATTTCTTTTGAATTGTTGTGACTCCTTTAACGACCAGCACATTATTGTTTTTTAGCCTACTGATGCTGTTGAGAAGCTTTCTCAAGCTGCAGCCTTCCTATCACAACAAGCAAAACAGGATCGAGAAGAGCTTGAGCGGCTGAAAGGTGTTGTTGCCCGTTTAAGCGCTTCAATATCAGTGCAGAAGGTGAGAGCACTCAAGAAATTGGCCCATTTCGCTTTGAAATTGTAGAATTCATTGGAGGATTCAAGGAATAACACCGAGCTGGTAATGTTGTAACAAGAGAGTAGATGGAAGTTCCATTCTTTGACCTTCCATTTAGGGGTTGGAAAATCGCCTGGAGAGGGCGTATCTGCCTTTGCCGTGTTGCGAGAAAATTTTTATTGTTCATTGACTTTTCGCGGCTTTTCCCGTTCCACTGGTGCTATTTTCTCTCCCCCACCACTCGACAGCGCAATTCAGCAAGATTGTAGGGGGAAAAACTGGAAAATTCTTTGGGAGATTTTGGTGCGGTCTGAATGGTAGGAAGCTTGACAAGGTGGGAAGATAGCAAGATTTAGGTAGGATGGGTAAGGAAGAGGAGGGAGTCGTATTTTCCAAAAATTCTCCCCAGGACGTGCCCTGTTCTCAAGTGCTCACAATGAAACTCATTGAAGGATTGGCTAGGAACTTTTGTTTTTTTTCTCGAGTCCTGCAGACATCAGGCTCAGTAACTTTCAAAATAATTCCTCTCCATAAATCTCCATATTTTCTCTGGAAAATGAATAAATAAATAAATACCATGCCATGTTGTAAAAGCCTGTATGTCTCCCCGTTACTTTGTTGTTTTTTATTTGTCGTAAAATAGATATTTCTGACTACGACACTAGAAATTATTAGCTTGATTTACGATAAAGCTCACCATAAAACGGGGTCTCATGAATGGAATTTGTCATGTGATTTAAATCATGAGAAAGCTGGTAAATTATGAGAGATTTCGGCTGTTTCTAGGCTGAAGACCGAGCTATTCCACATCTGGCTACAACAAAGCGATGGACAGAACCAATAGCAGTTGTAGTACGTGATCTTCGTTTTCGGTTGTTTCTTTTTCAAGGGTGATCTGATGGCACATTTGCGTTCCCTGGAGAAACATTACGATCATCTACGGTATGGGATCCTTCCCATTTATGAGAAGTTTAAGTTCGCAGCCGCTTGGGAACTTTTTCGCTTTGAACACTTTTGTCCCCCGAAAGTGCGTGGCACTAGGGCTGTTGGCCTGCAATCCAGAACCGTGCACATACATGTACCTACATTCAATGGAAGGATGCCATTGAATGTAGGTACAAATACAGCATGACGTTGCAGTACATTTTTCAACAGCTATGTGGTAGTGCGGCCCTTGCGCACCTGTGCTTTTCCTCTCCACGCCTACTTTAGCCAAATGCTCACTTACCTTTTACCTGCAACGGTTTCCATGCTCCAATCGCGGAAAAGTCGAAAAAAAATTCGACAAGCTTAGATTTTCCTCGACCCGCCATCGTGGTACGACGCTGCAGGCAACAGAATGCATACACATAATTCAACGTGTAAGTTGTTGTTTTGAGGAGTGAAAAGAACAGGGCCTACAAGGGTTACGCGTTCTCCTAAGCCGCCTAGGCCTAAGCCTAAGCCGCTCCATCTTACCCTTTTTGAATGGCGAAAGTGCTACACCCTAGCGAGCGAGGACCTTTGCCAAATTAACGTAGCTATTTCCCGCATCATTTGATCGTGGGAACTGTCTTTAAAGCTTGGGCCCCATTCTCCATTAGTTGCTATCACGTAATATGTCTTTAAGTGAGCGCTTATTTCTATCATGACTGTCACGACTTGAATTGATAAAGCCTAATGCTATCAAGCTCATAAATCATTTTCGTTCGTACTGGAAGTAGGCCTAGGTAATACTCAATTCTTCGCTGGCCTGATTAGCATATGGAAGAGAATGACCTTGTAAGGAGATTGATCCATGTCGAGCACTTCCCATCATTAATATACGCTAGTTCGCTGCGGATGAAGGGGCGTGGCAGCAGTATAAGCGTGCCACAGCGCCAAACCTCTTCTCTCCCAGCTGTCCAAGCGGATATGCGACAACACTTGGTAGAAAACGAGTGATACGAACGATATGATACAGTCTTGTCACTTGCTCGCTTCAACAGCTGGTGGAGAACGGATTTGGCACCGCGCCAAACTCATCCTGTCTGACACGCCCCTTCGTCTGCAGCGAACTAAACGTAAATTTCTCTACACTGGAAGAATTTTCTAGCAAAATTTTACTTTTTAGGTCTTCGTTTGCAACCGGCCATCGGCAGTCACCACTCTTTTGAAACGTTTGATATCGTAAGTGTTGTTTCCATTCGGCCATTTTTCGTTATTCGATGACAAACTTCAAGATTTTTTCTATTTAGTTTATTTTTATCTGGTTTTATTTTTCTGTACAGTTAGTTTTAATTTGTTTTTGTTTGATTTTCATTGTGACTTTCCAACGGGTTGTAATTTTTCTTACATGTCAGGAAGTGTCTGTATCGTTATTCTAGTGAGCAATGACTCGATTGCGATACATCTTTGATTGAAATGAGATACGTAACCTTTCCTCTAGTCACCCGTGATCTGACCAGGCCGTGGGGATCCATATTAGCTCTAATTAGGCCGCGTTCATACATGATGCAGAAATGCGGAATATGCAGAACTGCGGAATTTGCAGAAAGGAAATATATACGTATCGATCTGAAAACTGCATTTCTTCAAATTCCGCGGAATTTGCCGACATGCAGAAATGACGGACAAAGAATTGATAGGGATCGATTGGTTCTTCCCTGCCGTCGTGCGGAATTGGGAGAAATGCAGATTCTGCAGATTCCGCACGACGGCAAATTCCGCGGAATTTGCAGAAATGCAGAAATTGCGGACAAAGAAGCGATAGGGATCGATCGGTCCATCGGCATTTCTGCAAATTCCGCACTTCTGCATATTCCACGGTTTTTGAAATCGATAGACATATTTTCTTTTTCTGCAAGTTCCGCGGTTCTCCCAATTCCGCAGGTCTGCAAATTCCGCAGTTCTGCACATTCCGTGGTTCTGCATTTCTGCATCATGTATGAACGCGGGCCTTACCCTTTACTGCTCCTTCAAAGTTCTGGTTATGTTCTGATCGCATATTTTCTTCTGTAGTTGACTTTGGCATAATGTTGTCCTCAAGGTTAGTTAGACCTACTGAACATGAGTATGACATCGGTTTAAAGGGCAAGTAAGTGGTGTTCTCTGCACGGGTACCAGGGCCGCAGTCAGTTTTGGCGCCTGTAGCGCATGTACTAGGCTTTTCCGTGTCTAGCGAGTGAGATACTCTAGTATTTTGAGGCGAGTGCCGGCAGTTTTGAGCCAAGCAGTTTTGAGGACGTGACATTCGTGTTCGGTGGTGGGGTCAGACTACCTTCGAGGAGAGGATGTGACTAAAGCTAAGTTTGGAGCAAACCTAGAACAAGTTTTGGCCGGTATATTGGAGGGTGGGGCAGCAAAGGCCGAATAATGCCTGATATTTTCCTGTAGAGATATTTGAATTGCATTTTATCGACGTGCTTGCACCTTAACAATATTCCGAATATCGAGAACTTTGAGGCTTCGTCCTTCTGCGGAGCAGTTTCCAATCACGGTCAGTCAAGACTGTAACGATGTAGCGGTTCAGAAGGGCAGTGGCTGAATTTGGTGAGCAGGTCCAGTATGTAAAGGTATGCTAAAAAGAGCACACCAGTTTTCTGAGTGCTGAATAATTTGACTGTTGCAGCACAAAAGCGCCCAAGAAGCAAACGTCGTTGTGCCCAAAAATCACAAGCGTTTTGCCACTTACTACTATATTGCACGCCATTATAAGCTCGCATTCGAGCACGTGTTCGATACTCTGGGGCATAACACCGCTATTTTGTTAGAAGGTGAGTAAGTTCATTGTATGTCCGGGTTTCAACAAAAACTTTTAGAAATTATGTATTTTTCAGATGATCTAGATGTTTCGATAGACTTTTTTGAGTACTTTTTGGCAACTCGGTATTTATTAGAGAAGGATCCTACACTTATGTGTGTATCTGCTTGGAATGACAATGGAAAGGTTAGGTTTTTCTTTATAAAAGACCAGCAATGACCCACGTTCTCTCTGCAGGCCCTTCAACTGCCCCCAAAACCAGTGGATGCTTGATGCCTGGCTACGGGTCCGCATCGGACCACAGTCCCCTCAAGGAATTTCCCTCGCTGACTCTGCGGAATGGATCTACTGGGAGCCATGTTCTGGGGATTAAACTAGGGCCAGGGCAGAACATTCTCATGAATGGGACTGAATCTTCTCTAAGGCTGACCATTGGAAGGAAGGAGACCGCAAGGCTGACGAATCGAAGTCTCCTCCGGAGGAACTCCCTTGCCGACTGAGAACTACTTGGTTCCCGGCATCAAACCAAAGCTAGAGCAGACGTACTCATGAATTTTCAGAATTCTTTCTGAGGCTGAGCAGTGAAAGGCTCCTCCGGGGCCGAGGAAAACCTGTTGCGACTTAGGCCCAAGCAGACGAAAACTTGGCCTACCGCCCTCACAGCCAGGATACATAATTGAGTGCATGAAATTTTGCTAAATACGACCCCACTCCTTCTCCTCCCCCCATTTCACAAGAGGACCTGCACTGAGAGGAGGGGACTCCACGATCCTGTTCCTGAGCTTCCGTAATTGAATGTATATGTTTTACTACAGTGAGTGTACAAAAATACGTATTTAGGCTGAAAACATCGATATGGAGGCGATCGCATTGCTATATCGCAGCGATTTCTTTCCTGGCTTAGGATGGATGATGACCAGGTATGTTTCTAATTATCTACTTTATTTTATGTTACAAGGCGTACTCCTCGACTTTATTTCAGCCGTCTGTGGAAAGAGCTTCAGCCAAAATGGCCTAATGGGTTTTGGGACGACTGGTTAAGAGAACCTGAGAATCGCAAGGTGGAACCTTAACTCCCAATTTTTTTTCAAGTGACCTTATAGTGCTTTAAACTTGGTGTGTTTATATTTCATCTAGTACAGAACTCTAGGGCCGCCAGTGTATTCGACCAGAAATCAGTCGGACTGGCATGACGCCTTTTGGGAAGAAAGGAGCTAGCAAGTGAGTATTGTCGTTTAGAAGAATAACATATCTTGGTAGAGTCAGAAGAGGACCCCAAAAAGTCGATCTGTCTATTTGCATTGAAGTAAACCATAGCTGCACCATAGCATTTTGAGCCGCTGAGTTACAATCTGCTTTCCGAATTTGCGAAGCATTTCTCTGAACGTGGACTATGGACTTAGACCAACAAAGCGGCTGTAGTCTTATTACCGCGGGTCTGGCACGCTGAGCGCTGTTACCACAAACGTAATGGGTGAAAATGCCAAATTCGCACTTGTAAGGAGTGAGTGAAGCGTGAGTGACTGCGGAGAGCAGGCACTGGCGTGCAGGGCCCCGTAGCGTACTCCATGCATTTTCATGCTGAATGAAAGTGATCTTTGTTTTCTAAGAGTCATATTAACCCTGAATCCAAGTTTCGTCCCGAATTTGTAAATCTGACCAAAGTCCGAAAAAAGTGGGACATTGCCATGTGTGAGTGGCGGTGCTACCAGTGGACGCGAGCGTATCCTATTATCGGTGGCTAGCCTTTATATGGGACTAGCCATAGGGTGCCTACTTGTCAGCAACTGCTCTCAGATTCCTTGTGTAGGAGAAAAAAGGCAAACTCTGATCTTTTGGTCATGTTTGGAGTCTTAGCCTTGTTTCGCAGATGACAAAAACACACGGATCAAGGATTTGATGCCGCGATCTTTTGCATACAAGGCAGACTCATTAACGGCTGCGCTCGACCATCACAACCGGTCATTACTCAAAGTCTTTATGAAGGTGCTTCTATGCGTTCCGGTGCATAAGGCACTGGGTTGAAAAACCTTCGTAACTCTCTCCAGAGAATTGTTCCGCAAATGCTGAGAGGAAATTCACTTCCGAAGGCTTATAGGTGCGTAGGTATACTTGTAGGTAAGATTGACATGGCCAGATCGATCTGTTGGAATTTCCTTGTCAGATGTAACTTTTCAGAGGACTTTTCTTTGACAAACATCTAGCGAAAGTGGTGCTCAACGTTGCCAGTGTTCAATTCACTACGATGAATCTTGATTACCTTCTCAATGTCTGTTAATGTTTTATACTTTTCCTAAAGTTGATGATTGCACAATTTACAATTTCGCTTTTTAGCCGACGTACAATAACACTTTCAATCATTTTGTCTATCACGATACTGAGCTCATGTCTATTGATGATGCTGTCGCTCTCTCTATGAAGGGAGATAATGCTGG